CACCGCGCCCCGCCTCGTCCCGCCCCGCCTCACAGGCGCCTCCGCGCCTCCCGACAGTCACTCCCTTTGCAAGAGATCCCGGTCTAATCTGAGTTTAATTTGAACGGCATCAACTCGTGAATACGGAGGGAAAAAGCGACGGTCTTGGCCATGGTGGGCCATGGCGGCTACAGGCAGATCGTTTATCTTGATGCTAGACGACAAGACGGCGGCTGGCTCCACCGGGGCGCCTGCCCGTTGCTCGCCGCCCCCAACCCCGGCGAGGGACGCCGCCGCCCCCGCCGCCCCCGCCGCCCCCACGCTACCAGCAAGGCCGGGCCGCACGGCATGGCTTGGCATGGGGCGGAACTTTACCCAGCACCTGCTGGGGGCCCCCGGGACCGGGACCTGACTCTGTCAAGATGGGTTCGACTCCCCACGGCGACAACGCTTACTCCTTTTCTCTTGCAGGAAAAACCCTGCTGGCCAAGGCGGTGGCCACGGAGTGCGGCACCACGTTCTTCAACGTGTCCGCCAGTACGCTCGTCTCCAAGTGGCGCGGGGACTCGGAAAAGCTCGTCCGCGTGCTGTTCGAGCTCGCGCGCCTCCACGCCCCCTCCACCGTGTTCCTGGACGAGGTGGACGCGCTGGCCTCGCGCCGGGGGCTGCTCGGCGAGCACGAGGCGTCGCGTCGCCTGCAGGCGGAGCTGCTCGTCCAGCTGGACGGACTCAACGACCTCCACGACAAGCACCCGGTCTTCCTGCTCGTCACCTCCAACCTGCCGTGGTATGCCCCGTGAGATAGAACGATGCAAACAGATTGAGGGAGAGAAGTCGCAATCATGTACTGCTGCACCACAGGGACCTGGACGAGGCACTGCTACGTCGCCTCGAGAAGAGGATCCTCGTGGACTTGCCGGACCTGGAGGCGCGCGAGGAGATCATCCGCCACCACCTGCCTCCCGCCGCCGCCTCACCGCCACCGCGGGCGCGGGTCGCGACCAAGCCCGCTCTACTGTGTCAGCTCGACTACCCCCAGCTTGCGCAGGTAGGAGACAAAACTTCTCTGTTTTGTATGTAAGATTGTCGAGGAAACGCCGAGGAAACATTGCCTTATCGGTCTCAGGAGACGGAGGGCTACTCGGGGGCCGATCTGCGGCTGGTGTGCAAGGAGGCTGCCATGCAGGCCGTGCGCAGCGTCTTCAGCCACCTGGACTCGGGAGTGCCAGGTAAGGCTTGCTCCCTCCTTCCCTTCTGGTTCTGGTCCTAAAGCCCGCCCCGCCACCCGCCACCCCCGATGTGACGAGGTCGTGCTTGCAGACACTGCCGCGCTGCAGCTGGACGCCGTGACCACGGCCTCGGTGCGCACCGCCCTCGCCAGGACCAGGCCGTGCGGCGCCAGGAACGCCGAGCGCTTCCGCGCCTGGCAGCAACAATTCGGCGCCTCGTAGACACAATAAAGCTCCACACACTCGGACGCTGTTAGCCCTCCTCATTTCGCCCCTCCCTCCCTTCCCGTGGGCGTGCCGTGGAGTGTGTGCTCCTGCGGCCGTGCCCGGACTACGCGCGGCTGGACGTGCTTCCGGCGCCGGTGGGGGTCGGGGTCGGCTGACCCCCGGGGCTGGTGGGGCCCTGCAGGGAGCGGCCGGGGACCAGCCGGGGACCGGCACCGACAGGGAGAGAGTCCCTGCAGAGTGATGAATCGCAACCAAGAAATACACGGGATTGCGTGGCGTGGCGTGGCGGGCTCGGGTGCTAAACCCCCTGGCCGCCGCTCTGCCGCCAGCGCGGCCCGCCGCCCGCCCTGCCCTGCACCCCGCTCGCCCACCCCCGCGGACCCGCACTCGCGGGGCACGCGCGTGCCCCGGCCGGGGCCAGGGGCTTTGACCGCACACGCGTGACGTTTCTTTCTCCGGGGGGATTTGCAGCTCAGCCAGCTCCGCGAACCGATTCGATATGAATGGATGAGTTTGAGGTGAAGAGGAGCAGGTGCGGGAGGGGCGGGGGCGGAGGC